CCCGCGCGCGCGGTCGCGGGCGCGCACAGGCCCCGCCACCCCGCCGAGAAGGCCGCTGGAATCCTGGGGCCAGCGGGGCGCTTCGGGGTCACCTGATCCGTGTTCCTGCCTGCACAGCCGGCCCGACCTCGACCCACCGAGTCCTGCGAGGCCCCGCAGGGCAGGACTTTCCGAAAGCCCTCCTGAGTCACTTCTTCCGCAGTGAATAACTCGCTTCTGGGAGGGCTTTCACACACCTAGACTGAGGACTCCAAACTGTTAGGAGGCTCTAGCAGAACGCCCCACCCACTCTTGGAAAGACTTTTCGGAAAAGCCCAAAGCCTCACAAACAAGAATCGGTTCACTTCGGGCCTTTTCTTCCGCCAGAAAATGGCTGGCCCTCGTCCTCTGTATAAAGTTGATGGAGAGATGCGAATGCTTGACACCAGAACTCGTGCTATAATTTTAATGCGCTCAGCTCCCACGCCAAGACCCGTCACTACTGGGCAGATGCATGGGCTCATTCCCTTAGACTCGCCCAGCTCTCTCCTGCTGAGGTGAGCTTAGCTGTTTTAAAAAATAGTCCAATGTCATTCTGAGTCAAGGTCTTGAATAAACTGTGGCTCCAGATGAGAGCAGAACAGTCCATCTCCAATGCAGGTTGAGGAGACGTGGAGATGAGAGGTCCTCCCCTGTTGGGAGGAGAGCTCCAGACCCGAAATCAAGAGCCCCAGCTTCTGCTCTTGCCCTGAGGGGCTGTGTGACTTCGGTAGGCAGCTCCCTGCTGAGACTCAGTTTCCCTGAAAGGCCAGCTGCTACTCCAGCACACCTCCTGACATGGGGCGCACACCAGGCCCAGCCCGGCAGGAGACTCGGAGAGCTGATATTGGTGTTCGGTGGTGCATCGGCATCTTTGGAACCACAGTGCACACTCGCGAAGCTGTTGCTTTGAAGAGAACACTCATTTTTCAGGCATTGTGTTCTTGCAGGTTAGTTAAAAATCTATTTTTGTCCCTCTGGTCACTCACAGTCATTTCGCCACTCCACCCCATGTTGCTACAGCCTTTCTCTTCAGCAGTGCATTTCCCAGGGCCTGGAAGAAGGCCTGATACCTGACAGGGCTTCCGTGCATATCTGTGGGAAGAATGACAGTGCCTAACCCAAAGCCAGCTTTACCCAGGACAGGAGGAGAAGGACCTCATGTTTCCTGGGCACCCACCACCCATCAGGCACTGTGCACATGATCCTTCATTTATTTCTCACAGCAGCCCTGGGGATTAGTGATCCTTCTCCCATCACAGCCATGAGAAAACAAAGGCTCTGAAAGTGTACAGTGCCTGCCCAGTTTCTCCACCTACATGATAGAGCTGGAATCCTTGCACCCAGATCAGGGGCTCTCAGAACCTTGCAATGAACACAACCTCAACAGCTAGCTCTTGACCACATTCTCCACTGGTTTCTGAGATCTTGAGGTCCTTTCTCTCCCTGCCTCACAGCCACCCCTAGCACAGGCAATTTCAGGAGCCACACTGCCTGCTGTCAGTTCTGGCTCCGTAACTTCCTGTCTGTGTGACCTTGAGCAAAACGGCTTCACCTCTCTGAGCCTCAGTCTCCATGTGTGCAGAATGAGAGAGAAAAGTATCCACCTCAGAGTTATTGGGAGGATGAAATGAGTTGGTTAATGTAGAGGCTTTAGAACAATGGCTAGCTTAGTAGAAGGTTAGCTATTTTTATTAACCTTGATGCTTTAGACCTCCACCGCCATGTTTATGACCACTAAGATAAGACACGTGAGCAGTAAGCAGTGGGTAGGAGTTCTGATTTAAAACAACAGAGCGATCCAAAGGTCATTCACATACTCTGTCCTCCTCCAAAGCACAGAAGGGGGTTTGCCCTGTTTCTCCCACGTTCCCCTAGACCTCCCTGCTCTGACTTCCTGTCCTCTACCAAGGCAGCCCAGAGTGTTCCCAGTCACCAGTTCCACCTGATCAAACATTTTCCAGGCAGACGCTCGCTCAGTGTGAATTCCCCAATCCTGCTGACCACTGTCCCAGAGTCCTGGTGTTTTTGCCGCTGCAGGATCCAGACAGAGGAAAAGCAAGGAGGGGCAGATGCTTGGGGCCCAGGCTTTTGCCTTCACAGACCACAGGCGAAGCCACCTTTCCTGGGGATCAGCATTCCTGGGAGCACCCTTGGCCTTGCAGGAAGGCCAGCCCTCCCCCAGGTGGCAGGGACAGCAGCAGCTAGGGCAGAGTGCAGACAACGGCAGGACCCATGGGGTCCCTTCCCTGTGTCCTCCTCCTCCCCCTCACTGTGCAGAGCCAGACAGAGTGACCTGCGGGAGTGTTTGGCACACCTCCTCATCTGCCTGGCTTCTGCTTCTCCTGAGTGACCCGCGTCATCGGTGACTGTCTTCTCATCAATATTAATTATGATCTGTGTTAGCATATTGCCTCCCACTTAGACCAGGGTTTTACATTTCAAGGCCCAGTCAAGATGCCAATCTGCCCCGACTTTGCCTTTAGTAATTCAGCAGGCATTCTTTCTACCAACATCCACTACCAACCTACTATGTGCTAGTCAGTGCCCTCCTCCTTCTGCCCTCACAAAGCCCTGTGTTCTGTGACACAGCACTTGGCATTTGATCACATGCCATCGTGTCTGGTGCCCCTAGCGGCCCCACCAGCAGTGAGACCCTCACTTCATCCACCTGCACCACCGTGTCTTCATCCCGGGCTGCCTGCCTGCTGCCCATCTGGATTTGTCCCCAATCGTCCCTCCAGTCCCAGCTCCCTTCCTGGTCTGAAGTCTTCCCTGACCCTTCCCCAGGCAGAGGTGACAATGCCTGACCATGTGCCGTGGGAGTACATTGGAGATACAGACCCCTGCCGTCAGACGGCAGGTGATCAAGCTCTTGTTTATTTGCTAGCCTTTCCCTCCAGGAATCGTGTCATTTATTCATTCGTGCATTATGTCATTCATTTGTTCAGTAAGTATGGCGGGCACCATGCCGTGTGATGGGTGTGCAGTGGTGCACAGCAGAGTCCTGGTTCCTTCCATTCGAGCTGTCCTCTTGACTCTCCCATCTCTTTCTATCCCTAGCACGTGAGCTTGCACCTAAACAGCTGCTATTGGGCATGGCTGTTCATTAACAAGCTTTCTCCAGGTCAGACCCATGCCCCCACTAGACTGCAAGCTCTTGAATACACTGGCCGATCTCCTGACTCCATTTCCGAGGGGAAGGGCACAGGAGATGAGTCAGGAAGGTAGGCAGGAGTGAGGTCACACAAAGCCTTGGGTTCATGGTGAAAGGTGTGGATTTTATCCTGAGTGCCATGGAGAACTGTAGTGTGCCATCTGTGTTTCACAAAGTTTGTCCTGGCTGCTGTATGGTAAACAGATGTGGGGAAGGGGTGGAAATGAAGACATCCATTTGGAGGCGATTACTTGATCCAGGCAAGAGGTAATGTTGGCTTGGTCTGAGATAGTAGAAGAGAAGTGAGTTAATTTCAGTTATATTTGAAACATAGAGTCCATGGGTCTTGCTGATGGATTCAAGATGGAGGTTAGGGGGGGAGAAGGAGGAGAAGACATCAAGGTTAACCTCGAAGATTTGGATTAAATAAGGAGGTGACTGAACATGAGAAAGGGGGGATGTTTGGGGAAAAGCAAACTGTGTTGGAAGCTGGGAGGCAGAAAGAACTGTGAGCTAAATTTGGAAAATGTTAACTTTGAGTGGAAAATCTGAATGAAGACATCA